CTGGGCCCCTCGTCCTCCGCCGCGCCTGCCGGGCGGGGGCCTTGGGCAGGGGCCGCCGTCTCCCGCTAAAGGGACCCGAGCTGCCTCGGCGGCCGTCTCGCCCCAGCGGACGGCGAGCGCCTCCGGAGCCGGGACGGCGTCCTCGTCACTTCGGTCTGGCACGTAGTGGGGCCTAGCAAGAGGCTGCCAGGTGGAAGGAGGCAGAGGTGGCGCGGGCCCGGCACTTAGTGGGTGCGCCCTGAGTGTTTGGTCATTGCCGGCCTTGGGGACTTGCTCGCAGGCTTGGAGGCGGGGGGCACTCTGACGTGTCGCCTTTGGGAGCACCGTGAGACCCGCGGTGAGCAGAGCTGACGACCGGCAACCAGGGCCTCCCGGGGGTAGCCTGGGAGATCTCTTGAGAGACGGGGGGAGCTCTGACTGTGCAAGGTGAGAAAGCAGAGAGGCGGGCAGAAGGCCCGGAGGGTGACCGACAGGACTTTCCAAGAACCCAGCGCACCTGGGAGCAGGCGGCCTTAAGGTGCTAGGTCAGGGTGTGGGAGCGCGCAGGCGAGGCCCTGGTGCCTGACAGTGGGCACCCACCGCTGCCCGTGGAGAAATTCCTTCTGAAGAACCAGGAAAGAGATGCCAATTTGCAAGAGGGGTGGAACTAACTTTCAGCCAGGGCCGACTGTGCGCCAGGCAGTGAGCTGAGTTGAGCCCTTGGGTAAGAAGTGTGTGAAGCACTGAAAGCCGTAAAGGGTGATCTTTTCAGAAGTTTGGAAGTGAACCAGAGAGGCCTGTAGCTCGAGCGAGGGGTAGTAAGAGGAAAGGAGAGAGGTGATTTCTTTATCCCTCCCCCGCACCCCAATATGAGGTGGAGCTCTCAAATAAAGCAGCTGAGAGGAGAGAATAAGAGAGGAGAGATGGGATAATTAATGGTGCAAGATCTCAGAAAAGGACAATGAGAGATAGGGCTGGCGGAGGGGAAGGAAGAAATCAGAGAAGAGGCACACCTCTTCCTACAAGAATTAAAGGATGCATAAGGATGGAAATATTTTGAGATGGGGAGGCATACATACTGATCCTTCATGTTTCCTTGGATCAGCTGCCTAGATGACCCCCAGAGTCATCCGTAGGCCTTCTGGGGTTACTGTCCTTTAAAACTTAAGTGCAATTGGCTCAAACCCCTATTCCTCTTAAAGTGGGAAAGCATGCATACCTGCCAGTGTTTCCAAAGATTCCCAGGGAAACTTACATTTCTCCTAATCGTCCTATTGGCCCCAATTTTGTATTCCCAATATTCTATTATGCTATTTTAGGAAATTTGTCATTGTATCCTGGATACCACCCCATTTATGCTCCCCCAAAATATAGCACCATATGTGAAAACAAAGTACCCAATGTTATATGATTGTTAAATTATAGTTTATTTGTAACCATTAAAAATCTTGTTGAAGGAAAAGATTAATGACATGGGAAATAGTTGTAATTGAAAAGCACATCGTAAGATGATATAATACTAGCTTATATAAATATACTATGCGTATCACAGATATCATGCCTAGATAAATTGGATTTTTATTTTCTTCTGTGACTTCTTCGTTTTCTTATTTTCATAGGACGTTAATATTTCTCTTTAAATCAGGGAAAATGATATTTTAAAGTATTTTTAAGAAAGGTAATTTTTAAGAGATCTTTATGGAGTTGACAAGAGATGTTAGGAATTAAGAAAGGAGGGGTGCCTGGCTGGCTCAGTTGGTAGAGCATGCGACTCAATCTCAGGGTCTTGAGTTAAAGCCCCACGTTGGGCATGGAGCCTCCTTTAAAAAAAAATTTTTTTTTTAAGGAATCAAGAAGAAAGGAAATTGCAAATGGGTCTTTGAAGGATGGAAGGGACTTAGGTCAGCAGAGATAGGCTAGTTGGGGAGGCTGCCCTCAGCAGGAGGAACACTGCAATCAAGGACACAAAATAAGAAATGGAGGGAGTGTTCAGGGAACACCAGAGGTCAGTTTGGTTGAGGTGTAGGATTTGAGGTGGAGAAAAGTAGGAGACTCAGTCCGGAAAAATAAGATGGGGTGATGGTCCCGAATACCAAGCTAAACCCTTTGTAATTTGTGGTTGAGAAGAACCCCTGGAGATTGAACTGTGCAGATGATAAATTTTAAAGTAAATTTTCCTGTAACCTCTTACTTAATGAGGTTCTGGATCTCAGCCCTTCTAACTTGATGATATTTGGATATTTGATTGACTCAGAGCAGTGAGGTAGGGACAACAGTTTTTCATTCCAACTGTTTACAGAATGAGAATTGGCCCTGGCTTCTCTGCCTGTCAATAACTACAATTTTTATTCACAAGGCACCAGAGTTTCAGAGAGAACAGATTAGCAAAGAGCGAGGACGAGAGGAAGAAGAAATGTGTACCTTAAACCAGTGCTTTTTTTTTTTTTTTTTACAACTTTCTGTGAGTTTGGCTTTTTTTAGATTCCACAGATGAGTGAGGTCATACAGCATTTGTCTTTCTCTGTCTGACTTATTTCATGTAGCATAATGCCCTCAAGATCCATCCATGTTGTCAAAAATGGCAGGATTTCCTTCTTTTTTTATTGCTGAATAATATTCTTGGCAAACTTTTTTGACAGTGACCCTCTATACAAAATATGTTGCACATCTCAACCCAGAATATACACATGCACGTACATAAATACACCTCTGAGACGGAAGTTTCATGAAGTATTACTCTTATGTACTGCTGGCTGATACTTTAAACTCGATTATTTTTATTTCTTTTTAAACACTGGTCAGGACCTACTACATTGATTTTATGAACCACTATAGGGATTACAAAATGCCTCAAAGGACATTGAAAAGTGGCTAGAGTATTCCCTGCTATGTTTACAGTTCCCATTTAAGTAGCCATATAGACTGTGACCTTAAGTTTGCCATGTTTACATGTCCCAGAAGTCAACAGGACAGTCAAGAGTCTCTCGGGATATGGTGGGGGTGGGGATAGAAGGGTTGGCACAAGCCATGTTTGGGTTCCTCTTCCCTTCTTAGTAAATATTTCCTGATATCAATATTTCTCAGGAGCCATAAATGTTTCCTTCTTTGTTTATCTTGAGATGCAGATTGAACTTCAGACAAGGCTGGACTACCACCTGTAAACCAGAGACAACTTTTCATTTGAATGAACAGAATCAAAGACTAAAATAAAAGGGGAAATAATGTATCTTGATTGTGACAGTACATAGAAACTATCTTATCCACCACTGTTGGAATATGATAGGGACAGTCAGTACCATCCCTTTCTTCTAAATCCAGAACCAATGAGAAGAGGAAAATACAACTCTATCACCAACAGAGCTGCACTCAAGAATGTGGCTTGGCTGATGACCGGGAGGCTTTTTAATATTCCCTGAATTAAAATGATCTCCCCCCCTGGGCGCCTGGGTGGCTCAGTTGGTTAAGCGACTGCCTTCGGCTCAGGTCATGATCCTGGAGTCCTGGGATCGAGTCCCGCATTGGGCTCCCTGCTCGGCGGGGAGTCTGCTTCTCCCTCTGACCCTCCTCCCTCTCATGCTCTCTGTCTCTCACTCTCTCTCACTCAAATAAATAAATAAAATCTTTTAAAAAAAAATTTAAAAAAATAAAATGATCTCCCCCAAAACTCCGACCTCCCCCTTGAAGGGGCCTAGCAAATTTAACTGTGTCTGATTAGGGAAGATTGCACTCTCTCTGAGAGCAGGCAGATCCAAATTCACCAGTTAGGTAAGTCCAGGACAAATTCTCTCCTACCTGCCCTCCTATGAAAACAAAACAAAACAAAAAAGTTAGGGAATAAGGATCTATCCCTGCCCAAACAAATTGGATCTGACCCAATAGTTAGGCAGTTGAACAGAAAAGTATCTTAATGCAGTGAATTATAAAAAATGGCAAATCCATACCTTAACATCTCATTGTCACTTAAAACCTAGAAGGAGGGCGCCTGGGTGGCTCAGTTGGTTAAGCGACTGCCTTCGGCTCAGGTCATGATCCTGGAGTCCCGGGATCGAGTCCCGCATCGGGCTCCCTGCTCGGCAGGGAGTCTGCTTCTCTCTCTGACCCTCCTCCCTCTCATGCTCTCTGTCTCAAATAAATAAATAAAATCTTTAAAAAAAAAAAAAAAAACCTAGAAGGAACACCCATTTGCCAGTCTTCTGATGTGAGGCCAAAATTTTTCTTAGAGCAAGAGTGACTGATTAGAGTGTTCTTGAGCCCTTTCTTACATAAATCCTATCAACGGTATATTTTCTGTGCTTTCTAATTTGTTTCTCTAAAGTTGACTAAGGACTTAAAACTTCTTGCAAAGTGGTATAAGGGAAGGCTTCTTCTTAAAAGAAAAAAAAAATCCTTTGTAATTGTCTTACCCACATCGGGTTTGACAGTAATTTTCAACTGGTTGTTAGCTAATATTTCCAGAGCATTCAACTGACATTTCATAGAAACAACTCTTTCTTTTCATGCTTATGTTTCATCAGTTTGTGTAACTTAAATTAATTATACTCTGGCATACAGTCATAAGGAGGTTTGGGACCAAACACAACAGACTCTTGTTAGGCATCTAACTCAACTGGTAGGAAGAAGTGTGTAGGAATTCCAGAGATGAAAGCATTCAGTAGGTCATGGGTAGTAGTCAGTATGTTTAATTGGAGGGAATAGAAAGTGTTGATTCCAGAGAGTCCATTAAAAGAGAGCCATTAATGCTCATTAGACTAGTATGACCAACTCTGTGTGCATATATCTTAACCTTCTTCTTCCATCATTTATCCATTTTATAATCCCCTCAAAATCACTGTCCCTCCATTCCCATTTAGCTAAACATGGCTTTAAACGACTTAAGATTGGTATGGCTATCAAAGAAATTCAAATGGTAACATCACATACTGCATTAGCAAAATAAACATCCCTTGTACACTTTCCAGTCTTAATAAGATGATGTAATTGATACATTCAAAGAAACCTGTGATGTGAATTGGCATTACCCCTTTAAGAAGAAACTGACCATACTTCTGAAGAGCCTTAAAAGAGATGTGGCCCTTTTGACTCATCAATACCACTCCTGGAAACTTCTCCTTCGGAAATAACCCTCCCCCAAAGAGAATGGCCACATGTACAATATTTACTGTAGCCTTATTTGTGGTAGTGAAAGTTGGAGTAACTTACGGTATGTAACATTGTTTAACTTACTGATTACATATTATTTAGAAAAAGATACAATTTGTTCCACTACACTAAGAACCTGAAACTGAATTGTATACTTTAAAAGGGTAAATTTTGTGAATCATATCTCAACTTTTCAAAAAAGATACAATTCTGTATTTTTGCTTTTGTATCAGCCAAGATCAGCAGGAAACAGATGGCCTGCTCAAAATGTGTAACTGAAGGGAGTTAATGAAGGGACAGTGTACAAAGAGACAGGCAGGGTTGAGGGAAACCAACAAGGGATAGTGAAGCACCCCAGGGCTAGAATCTGCGGAGAGGGCGCCTGGGTGGCTCAGTCGTTAAGCGTCTGCCTTCGGCTCAGGTCATGATCCCAGGGTCCTGGGATCGAGTCCCACATCGGGCTCCCTGCTCAGCAGGAAGCCTGCTTCTCCCTCTCCCACTCCCCCTGCTTGTATTCCTGCTCTTGCTGTCTCTCTCTGTCAAATAAATAAATAAAATCTTTAAAAAAAAAAAATCTGCGGAGAAGGCATCATCAGCCATAGACTAAGTGAGAACAATAGCTGCAGGAAAGAGAGAGCCAATAGGAACTTGCAGGAATACAGCCCTACCTCTCTCTCGTGCCCTCAGGTCTCCTGTGGTACCTCCCCCACTGGCTGAACCCAAGAGGAAGCCTAAGTGGAAGTGAGCCCAGGTGACAGTGTCCTTCAAGGCTAACCTCTGGAAAAGAATGGAGGGTGGATCTGGAAAGACAAAGGCAGAATATCTAGCAGGTATGTGATCATAGAATAATGTGAGAACTGTCGAAGCATATGGCCAAGGATCTAAAGGGAATCCAGAAAACCAGGGTTTCCAGAGAGGAGAAGTGGAGGTAGCTGGAGAGTAGACAGAGTAGGTGGTGGGAACAAGAAAGATCGTTAACTGAGGCTGAGACAAGGATGAGAGACAGAAGCAGGCACATTTTATTTTTTGGTCAAATACTTAGCTGGAGACTGCGCTCTGGAAGAGATTAATAGGAGATACAGGAGCTAAATTAGACCAGAGCATTGGAAATTCTTCCCCTATTGGCTATTACCCTGTATTTCTCCTTCCTAGATAAACTGCATGTGTTCAACAAATAATTGCTTAGTACCTATCATGTGCCAGGAACTCTTAGGCCCTGGGGATTGAGGAGGGAACAAAATTAACATCCTTGCTGTCCTGCAGTTTACATCCTGGTGGGGGGAGACAGACCGTAGATAAGTAAATATGTCAAGGAATAAGTGTTATAAAAAAAAAATGTGGGAGAGCAGGGAAATAAAATTCTGCCCATTCTATATCTTAAAAACCTCTTGATTTAGACCACACAGCTCCCCCACCCCACCCCACCCCCACACACACCCCAGAGCTCCTGAGTAAATTAGACCTTGTGTATCTCTCACCTGGACAAAGATCATAATACCTTCCTCCCTCCAGCACCCTCCAACCAGTCCTCCACTCTGTGGGGAAGATCTTCCTGAAATGAATCATGTCAGTGCCCTGCTTAAAATCCTCCAAAGGTCTTGTTTGCCTGCAATGTGGAATACTGTCTAACCTTATCATGGACCTTTTCTTATCTTCTCTGTCCATCACATGCCTCTACCTCTCCCACTCTCCTCTTCTGCCCACACTAATTATCTGCAGTTTACCGGCCATGCCACACTGTCTCTCATATCCGTATGTTGGTTCATGCTGCTCTTTCCACTTGGAGGACCCTCCCAAACCCTCCACCTTCACCAGAATTTGGCAATCCCCTCTTTATTCTTCTAAACCCCTTAGCAATCACCTCTTTGGTCAAGCTCCCCTGACCTTCCCAGGTGTGAGGGAGCATCTCCCAGCTCCCTCTTTCGTGTTATCAGTATATCTTATAGGTACCTATGAATACATTTATCATACCATATAATCTTATTTCTTAGATCTCAAGATGAACAGAACTGGGTTTGGAGCACCTGGGGGTGGCTCAGTTGGTTGAGGCACATTTTATTTTTTGGTCAAATACTTAGCTGGAGACTGAGCTCTGGAAGAGATTAAAAGGAGATACAGGAGCTAAATTAGACCAGAGCATGGGAAATTCTTCTGCTATTGGCTATTACCCTATACTTCTTCAGCTCAGGTCATAATCTTGGGGTCCTGGGATCGAGCTCCTCATCCAGCTCCGTGCTCAGTGGAGAGTCTGCTTCTCTCTCTCCCTTTTCCTCTGCACCTCCCCCCTCATATAAATAAATAAAACCTTTAAATATAATCCATGGGTCAGAATCCTACATTATTGGTACATGTGTGACCCTCTTTTGTTACTAATCACCCCCCTAAAAACTAGGATTGACAACTTACACATATTCCCCCACACACACACACCCCATGCTGAATCTTGTGTTTATCATTTTCTGGCTTCTAAAAATATTTTCATCTAGAAAAATATTTTTTTAAATCAATTTTTAAATTGCCCTAGCTTTGATTTCATGGATATGTGGAATCTAAAAAAAAAAAAAAAAAAAGCAAATGAACAAACAAAAAACAGAAACAGACCAGTAAATACAGAGAACAGAAGGTTGCCAGCAGGGAGGGGGAGGAGGGGGATGGACAAAATAGGTGAAAGGGAATGGAAGATACAGGCTTCCAGTTATGGGATAAATAAGTCACAAGGATGGAAGGTACAGCGTAGGGAATATAGTGGATAGCTTGGTAGTAGCTTTATGTGCTGACCGATGGTAGCAACACTTGTGGTGGGCCCAGCATAAGGAGTAGAGTTGTCAAATCACTGTGTTGTACACCTGAAACTGAATGTAACATTGTGTGTGTCAACTATACTTCAATTACAAAAATTACCCTAGCTTTATAAAAATTTTTAAAAGTCTTGCTTTTTAAAAAAGGTGAGATTGAAGGTGCTTATATATCTTTACTAGCTATATATATATATATATGTAGGATTTACTAGCTATATATATATGTATAGGATTTTATTTATTTATTTGTCAGAGAGAGAGACAGAGGCAGGCAGAGGGAGAAGCAGGCTCCCCACCAAGCAAGGAGCCTGATGTGGGGCTGGATCCCAGGACCCCAGGATCACGACCTGAGCTGAAGGCAGACGCTCAACCGACTGAGCCACTCATGCGTCCCTACTAGCTATATATACTTCCTCTTGTGAAATATCTGTTCATATCTTTTTGCCCATTTTCTATTAGTTTTTTTTATCCTTTTCTCATTAATTTTCAGGATTTCCTTATGT